TGGGCCTCAGCCGCGCCGCGGAGGCGCTCGCTGGCTGGTCGCACTGACCTGCCCCGGCCTTGGGTGGGAGTCGGAACGGCTGCGCTCCAGGCTCGGCCCAGCCCCCGCTTTGTTTCACGGAGGGGAGACAAAAACGCCAGGAGAGAGTCCCCGGTGGGGCGGAGATAACCGTGTGTTAGCGGCAGAGCTTGGCCTAAGCCCCATTTGTAAGAGAATATTCCAGACCGCTGAGTGCGGCGCCGAGAAGGTGCGCTGAGGAGCGAGGCCGGCAGAGGCCGGCAGAGGCCGGCCAGGCCCCCGCGCTTCCGGCTCGCCGGGGCGCGCGTGGGGCAGGTGGTCCGGCCCGTTCCCGCTTCCCTCCTTTGCAGCCCCGTCCAAATGTGCGGCCCTTGCTGAGCTCGCATTTCTTTATTTTTTCCAGTTTTACTTGAACGCGCTTTTCTTTTTTCAATCTATCTTTATTGATTTCGGGGAGAGGGGGAGAGCGAGAAACATCACTGGTGAGAGCCGTTGAGGGGCTGCCTCCTGCACGCCCCAGACGGGCGCCGGNCCGCGACCGGGCTCGAGCCTCCATCTGGGCCCCAGGTCGGCGCTCAACCGCTGGGCCCCCGGGCCGGGCAGACGCGCGCTCTTCGTAGAGACGAGTTGGCCCTGTCCTCTCCCCGTGTGGACGCCGGGCCTTCCTTCACAGGAGCCGGTGAAGCGCCCCTGCCGGCCAGGACTTGTTAGAGGAACTTTTTTTTCCTTTCCCTCCATTTTTCGTGATGCTTAGGGAGAGAGCGGTCGGGCGTCTAGGTTTAGAAGAGACCCTGCTGGCAGTACCAGGGAGAGGTCTATTTCTCTTCCCTTCGAGAATAGTGCAGTCCTCCGGTAGTAGAGAAATTGGTAGAAATGAGAAATTCGCTTACATTTTAAATACAATTGCACAAATATAATCTTGGGGGGGAAATTCAGATATTCTACATAAATCCCTTTGATATCATCAGAACCTCACTCTCTGGAGGTGCGTATCAGGTAGCAGCGTGGTGTGTAGCCTTCCAGGCCCTTTCATCATACACGTCTCTTGAACCACATAGCTGTTGTCTTTTTTGTTAATCCTCACCAGAGGATATTTTTTCCATTGATTTTTTTTCTTTTAGAGAGAGTGGAAGGGGGGAGAAACACGGATGTGAGACACATTGATTGGTTGCCTCCGGCACACTTCCCCACCAGGGCTGGGGATCCAGCCTGCACCCAGGGAGGTGCTCTTGACCAGGAATAGAATCTGAGAACCTTCAGGTGAGACCCTTCAGTCTGTGGGCCCATGGTCTAACCACTGAGCCAAACCGGCTAAGGCATTACTGTCTTTTTATAAATGATAAAATTTTATACAATTAGCCTGGCCGGGAGTGGCTCAGCAGTTGAGCGTCGACCTGGGATCCAGGCGATCGGGGTTTGATTCCCGGTCAGGGCACATGCCCGGGCTTTGGGCTCCATCAATGACTCTCATCATTGATGTTTCTGTCTCTCTCTCTCCCTCTCCTTTCCTCTCTCTGAAATCAATAAAAAAATATATTTAAAAAAAAATCTTATACAATTAGATTGTTTGCAACTTGCACTTTTGGGGAGGTATCTAATCATGGAGTGTTTTCTGTATCTGTAAAGATTTGCCTTATTGCTGTGTACTGCTGTAGAATATTCTATAGTTTGTGTGTTGTTTAGTTATAATGATGGACATATAAGTTGTCATTTCAGTTCCACAGAGAAGTACTTTGTTTCTCAGTAGCTGACTCTACTTTTGTCTCCTTTTGGCCACCTGTCCTGTAGGGTAGGTTTTTTCCATCCATTTCAAACAGAGTATGCATTTTAACATTTCTTGGGCCTCTATCATAGGCAAACACTGTGCTAGGTGCTGGGATTCCAGAGATGGGATGACCTTGTCCTTTCCTTTGGAGAAGTCAGTCTGTCGGGAAACATTCTGTATGTTAATAGTTTCGTGCACTTATCAAAAACCTGTTGAATGGCTGCAGATTGGGAGACTAGGAAAGCTAGTCTGCTCCTAAGTGAGCTCTCACCCCAGGATACCCTCAGTGGGAGCACAGTTTTACTGCAGCTAGGGCTTTGACCTGTGTACCTGTCCCCCTAGGAGGTGCAGCAGCTGCAAGTGCTCTGCAGAGTCACCTGTTTTGCTCTCTGACCAGAGAGGAGAATAATGTTTCACAAGAACAAGTTGTAAAAAATGGAAAAATGTTCATATAAAACACGTGATTTAACTTGACCAAGGCAGCTGAGTCCACTAGTTCTTGTCCAGAATAACTTGTTATTAATATTTGAGGACTACATCCCTTACCCCAATGTGCAGAAATCTAAAGGAAGAAAGTTGCTGTGTTGCAGGACCTGTGCTAAATTGGCAAGATTAAGAATGAGCTCAGTTAGCAAGGGCATATGCGTACATTATTAACCATGCCCATTATGTTATGGGCTGAGGGTAATGTTGATCAGGGCAAGCATCCTGGGCCAGGAGATTGTAAAAAATTGGTTGTCACCCAGCAGCCCCATTCTTAGATTTATATCTAGCAAATGTATACATAAGTTCACCAGAGAACGTAACAGCTTTATTCATAATACACAAAAATTGAATACTAACCTAATGCCCACCAATAGTTGGATGGATAAATAGGTTTCAGTAGATTCACACAATGGAATTCTAAATAGCAGTGAAAATGAATGGTCTACTACACTCGACAACTTAAACGAATCCCACAAACATAATATTGAATGAAAGAAGCCAGGAGCCAAAGAGTACATACTAAAGTTTAAAAACAGGCAAAACTAAGCTGTAGTAATAGGAATTGGGATAGTGCTTACCTTTGTGGGGAGTAGGTTTTAGAAAAGGGCATAAGGCAGGCTGCTGGGGTGCTGGCAATGTTCTGCAGTGCTGGTTGCATGGCTCTGAAAATTCAGTGGGCTGTAGTAGGTAGACTTTTTTTTTCTTTTTTCTTTTTTTTTGGTTAATTTTCACATGAGGATATTTTTCCATTGCTTTTCAGAGAGAGTTGGGGGGGGGAGAGAGAGAGAGAGAGAGGGAAATATCCATGTAAGAGACACATTGACAGGTTGCCTCCCTGCACACACCCCCTACTGGGGACTGGGAGCCAACCTGCAACCCAGGTACATGCCCTTAACTGGGAATCTAACCTGCAACCCTTCAGGTGCACGAGCTGACTCTCTAACCACTGACCAATACCGACCAGGGCTAGACGGTTTTTTTAATGTATGTTATACTTCAATAAAAATTTAAAAAACTATTTTGTATGGGTGATTTTGCTGTAACCTTAGCTTGGGGGGAAGCTCCACTTTTAGCAGGAGAGAAGCGCACCAGGATAAGTTTGTTTCTACTTTTACAACAATGTTTTTAGAATTACAGAAGAAATACGTGGGCCCTGGCCAGGTAGCTCAGCTGGTTAGAGCATTATCTCGATACTATAAGGTTGCAGGTTTGATCCCTGGTCAGCACACATACAAGAATCAACCAATGAATGTATAAATAAGTGGAACAACAAATCGATCAAGCTCTCTCTCCCCCTCCCTCACCTCTCCCTCTCACTGTGAAATCAATTTAAAAAGAATAGGGTTTTAAAAAGAACAAAAAAAATATGTGGTTATTGAAGAAAACTGGAAGAATATAGGAAAAAAAGAATAAAATAAGCCCTGGCCAGCGTGGCTCAGTGGTTAGAGTGTTGGCCTGGGCACTGAAGGGTCTAGGGCTGCAGGGTCACGCCCTGCTGCGTGTGCGCATGGGAGAGGCAGCCAGTCAACCAGTGTGT